AGAGGAAAAGTCCATTTCGCACTTAGAGGAAAAGTCCATTTCGTACTCAGAGGAAAAGTCCATTTCGCACTCAGAGGAAAAGTCCATTTCGCACTCAGAGGAAAAGTCCATTTCGCACTCAGAGAAAAAGTCCATTTCGCACTCAGAGGAAAAGTCCATTTTGCACTCAGAGGAAAAATCCACTTCCCCTCGGAAGAAAAATGAAATCTATTTTTTTCGTACTGATAGAAAAAATCATTCGTTTCTTCACGGATTCCGTTCCGTTCACGAAAAACGTTCCCCATGCGTCGAGAATAGGCTTCGTTGTTAATTTTCATCTGAAATTCCCGCGGGATTTCACTTCCGCCATCTCTGGCGTTTTTTTCAAATCTCCAAAATCGTCGCGCAATTGATTTCCTGCGCGTGAAACAGCAGTTGAGCTAATCCTCTTGATTCCTCAGAGAAATTCGCATTTTTCATTGGAAAATTGACAAGAAAAGGGAAGAGAAATGGCACACGAGGGTGAGAATTTGACTGGACTCAGCAAATATTTTAATAGCACGACAATATCTGGTCGGGCGAACGTGAGTAAATAAAACTCTGGATTTCTAACCTCAAGTCTATCTCAAGGAACTTTTTGATTATTTATTGGGAAATAAATTCAGGTGGCTAAGCTGACACTTGCGATGTTGGGTCTCACCATCGTCTACAATGTTGTGAAACCAAAGAAAAATAAGCAGACTGATCCTGCCAAGTGAAACTACCAGTAACTTTCATGGAGATGTAGCTGAGATTTTGAATTATGTAATGTCCATCGATTATTCGTTTTTCTTGTTAATATCCTCGAAATCCTCTGCTCCTCGCTAATAAATTGTTAGATAAGGATCAGTATTCGCATCATTTTTTTCAGAACAATTTCTCCTATTTTTAGGATAGGGTTGGTGTTAGGGAGTGTCGAATGAATCATGAATCTTATTTGATCCCTCGTATCTTTTGACCCCATAATGCGATTCAGATAGATTTGATCTTGAGTTATAGCCTGAAATGATATCTTTCTATTGAAATAAAAATCGGTAAATTGCGTTCTACCCATTTTGAGTTATCGGTGATTTTGTGGGTCGAGATTTTGGAGTCGTTGGTATCCATTGAATATTCTGTTATTGAGAGATTTAGGGGGAGGGGAGGGGATGAAAATTGAATAAGAATAATTATCTTGCTTTTATAATTATTATTTACAATGCACTTTGAAATACAGCTATAGTAAAGGAAGGATAAATATTTTCATTCGATTGTAAAAAAACGTACTTTATCTTCGATCGTAGAGATTTTTCTATTCGACTTTTGAATAACTAAATACTTTTACGTAATTTTAAATTTGGATTGATAGATTTTCAAGCAATTGTTTGTTTTCCGAAAGTCTGATGGAAATTGCGATTTTTTTTTTCTTATTCTACATTAATTTTTGATGTCACAATTTGATGAATATGAAATGGGAAATATTTTTAATTTTTTAATTAGTTTAAATAATATCTCACTCAATTTCGATGAGAAGTAGAAAATAAGTCTTCAGGGAGATTTTTTGGTGAATATCTGATTTGAATAGAATTGTGACATTTTTAAAGGTTTTACTTCTTCGTGGTTCATTATTCTAGAAAATCATCTTTATAGAATTATTCATGACTAGAATACGTATTAATTTCGTTTTACAGCCATGAGAGCGTCTTTTTTTCCCTCTTAAATTTCTTAAACACTGAATGAACACCATTCAATAGGATGGCAGAGATTAATTGAATTGTAGAATTCATTCGATTTTTGACGAATTAATTATTATCTAGTGATTAGACACTTGTGTCGGATTTGATGTGATAAAAATAGTCTGGGTATTTATTTTTTTTTTAATCATATAGTTGATTATCATTTTCAATGGACATTCAATTAATTATTTACATATTTGAATATTTTTAATATTCAGGAAATTCTTCACATAAAAAAACACCTCCCCTTCTTCTGTTTGCGAAGATAATATTTGCGGAATTAATTTTCAGCCAAAAAATAATCTAAATATTTGCAGAATGTCTTGAAAAAATTATTCAATTCACAGGAACAGGATGAAATTAATTGAGAATTATTGGAAGGAGATAAGTAATTATCGTAATCATTTGAAAATTCGAGATGGAGATGTCGCCATCTTGAAAATCCCTCTGGGATGGATTAAACAAGATGGCGGCGCCTTCATCTCGCATTTTCAGATGATCAATAAAAATATTTTCCTTCGGTTAATTAATTTCTCTCGGTTTTTGAGAAATGAACAATTTTTTCATGTCATTTGGCAGATATTTTGATAATTTTTTGGCTGAGGATTCACGAAACAAAGCTTTGTCGATATTTTATTTTTTTTTTTTGTATCATGAGGCCTTTTAATTCTATAAATTTGAACGAGCGAGATAGTTTAGTCGTAAATTCGAAGATAATATTTTATCATTTGACGAATAAATTAATTTCTTAAATAAAACAATTCATATATTATTCTTAATTCAATTCTCTATTATCATATCAAAACTTTGAGGTATTTTGTCACTCGAATACCTACCGAAATATCTCTTTACAATCTCTCATTAACGTCATCTTATTTTATTCTGTACAAATAATTTATATTACATGAGAATTATTTATCTCGATTCACTCCGTTGAAAACAAGAGTTCAATCAAAATTCTAGTTATTTTTTACAATAAATACTACAAATTTATACCACATAATTGGATAAATAAAATCTAGTTCATTATATTTGGAAATAATTGATGTCACAGAGAAGGTCAGAGCAATTATCGAATATTGGAGGGGAATCCGCGGAGAGAAAAAGTTTTCCAATGAAAATTTTATTCTCCAATCGTGGAAAACTTTTTCTGAATCAAAGAAATGTTTTTTCAATCTCGAAACTCGGCTTCTTCAATCGAGAAACTTCTCTCTTAACAGCAAGAAACTTTTCTTTCTAAATATGACGTCGAAAAAATGGCGACCGAATTTTCCAGGAAATTTTATTATTTCAAATTCATCATTTTGTATTATTTCCGAAAAATTAATGAAAAGTCGAAAACTTGCATTTTAAATATTCGCGGATTCTCGATTTTTTCAATAACTTCAAGTTTATTTAAAAATTCATGAAAATTTATGAAAATTCGCATTTTAGACCGAAAAAATCCGTTAATTTTCCAAGAAATTTCACTTTTTATTCAGAGTTTCGGGTTAAATCGAATTCAGTGAAATTTTCTTGAACATTCAGGGATTTTTTGTTCTTTGAGGTTTCGTGATCATTAAAATGTAATTTTCATAAGAATTAAACCTGAGACTTCCAATTTATCCTCACCTTAATGGAATAAACAATTAATTAAGGGAGTATTTATACCCTTTTTACTAAATCATCCGGCCTCTCCCCTGTCACGTAGAACTGAAAGAAAATATCTCCCCCAGGTCAGTCCGAAAGTTGAAGGTCTTGATGTCGTATTATACCAACAAACTTCTCGACTTCCTTCTCATACCTATGAAATCGGATTTATTTGCTGGAACAAATACGTGACATCTTGAAATATCTCGAATTTTTTCCCAACCCTCAAGTTTCTCTATCTTACGTTACCCTAAAAAAATGACATTCAATTCCTTCTAAGAAATGAGATTACAATTCAAGAAATTCTGAATTGGAGTTGGCAATTTCTTCACTTATTTCTTCAATTATTTCTTCAGTTATTTCTTGATGGAAAACCTGGGGATTATTTTGGTAATTATTTATTAGGCTCATCATTCAACATTGTTGTTTTTACTCCAGTCATTGATGTATGATCTGGATGATATTTGACTAGGACTTCTCACTGGACTTCTTCCTGGATAATAAACACATGGGCTTTGTCTTGTACTTCCATTCAAATGTACACTCGAGTGATTATTTCTCGGTCCAGTTGTGTTTGATCTGTGGTGATGGCATCTTCGTATGGAATTTCTCATCTCTATATTTGTGGTATTTGTAACAACAGATTCGTCATTTGTCTGGAACTCTGGGCTGTCTCTGCCGGGGCCGAATAGCTTTGAGCTGCAGAATAATCGGATGAATAATCTCTTGAAATTTCTACCGAATATAACGTAGACGATGAAATTAATACTGCTGTTTATTGTAACGAGGAGATTGCCAGCTTGTACTAGCCAGGCTGGTGGCAGTACTTGAAATTTTTCGAATACATTTGAGGCTAGTGGAAGAACGTTGCACACGATGAATACTATTACTACGCACAGTAACATTGTTGCTAGATTTATCTCACGACGCTGGTGACGGGATAGTTGTTGAAGGTCTCTGTTTGCTTTTCTCACCTGCAACAATCAGAAATTAATCATTTTTATTTTTTCATTCATTTACTTTTCAATATTTATTTGAAATTAATATTTATCCCTAGGGTGGGTGGGGGTGTGGAATTACGTCTTTTTTACTCTGGGATCGATAGACACTGAGATAATATTCTCATGCTGCCGCCGTCAATTATTTAAAATAAAAAGAATAAGTCTATAAATAATTTTTTTTATTCAATATTTTTTTTGTTGTTATTCGGTGATTCAATTTTTTTTTTCTTTTTTGTAATTACTGGAGGTTTTATCAATAATTCAATTTTTTTATTTTTATTTGAGACTTATTCTTTTTTTTTCAATTAAAAGAAATAATTTAATAATTATTATATTGTCCGGAAATGAATGATTATCGGATTTTAATCTTCAAGTTCTGGAGTTGGTGATATAAATTCATTCTATTTTTACCGTCTTGGATTTCAAAATAATTTTTAATCCCAAAGTTTTTCAATTCTTCCGCTGTTCTAATGTAGCAGAAAGGGATGGGGGGGGGGGGATGGGGACGAAAGTGCATTGGGTGTTCTCTCTCGCTCTCTCTTTGAAGTATCGGTGAACTTTTTCCTTGTCTTGCGTTTTTTTTTCTTTTTTTTTTAGTTTCCTCTTGGCTACATTTTTCCATTCTGTATAACCCACTGCGACCAGTCACCATTATAGTTTTCGACGGAAAACCACTGGCGCCCTTGGGCTAGGGGGTGGAGTGAGAAAAATATGTTGCCAAAGTGGTCCCATGTGGGGTGTATATCCAACAGTCGCTTGTCTTTTGTCGTCAGAGGTTGTAATGCCGGTAGTGCAATCATTACATTTTCTAAGTTAAATTTCAGCGAATTCGTTTGATGCTGAGATACAATTTTCACGTCGAATTTAATACGAGAATTCATTAATTTCGTCGAAATAAGGAATTATTTAATTGAATATTATTCATTTTATTATTCAACATCACGGGGAAATTGATGAACTTCTCGTGGTGGTTACCTATCGAAATAACGAAACTCAAAATATTACTTCGAAAAAGTGCAGTAAACAATTTTTTGGCGTAATCCTTTCATTTGTAATATTTTTCAAAATAATATAATGATATCGTAATATTGCGACGTGTAACATTTTTCGGGGTAATATATTCGCGAAGTTATATATTTACATTCTAATATTTTTTTTTAATATTTTGAGGGGCAATTTTATTATCGAATGAAATTTAGAGCGGTCGCCCTTGTGGTTCAAATTTCCATTATTTCCACCATTTTAAACCACAGAAATTATCGCAAAAAAATGGTTCCGATCTCAAAATTATGATGAAACAAAGTGATCTCATATATGATGGAATGAATATTTTTAAACAATGTTTAAAAACGCGAGGTGGTGGTAGGATTCGAAGGTCGCCATCTTGGAAGTCTCTTGGGGCCCGGAGGACAAGATGGCGGTCTCCAGTTTGTCATCTCGAATTTTCAAACGTTCTTTAAAATTATTTAACCTCTTCAGATGATCCTCGACTCGTTCTCTCATAATTCCGTGATCGGAACGATTATTTTTCACCGATTTTTCTGCCTAAAAATGAAAAAACCTAGGAAAAAACGACGAGGCCAAATCAGGTTTTCATCTTGTCTCCCCACTGACTTCAACAGTCGATAATTACGATGGCTTCCGTTAAAAGGAGGAACTTTTCCCCGACATATATAAAGAAGTCATTAATTTCGATGGGAAAAATAATTAAGATCGGAGCTTCTGGAATTGAGGGATTTACCGCGGATCTAAGAAATACTTCTTGCGGCAATTCCCATTACTTTTCACGCCTTTTTTTTATGATATTTTCCTCACACTCAGCAATAATTAATCAATGCCATAAAAACTAGAATCAGTGTGGGAAAACTTCTCTAAGAAAAGTGTTGGAAAAATAATGCGCTCCAGTGATCAAGTGCTCACTCCTCGCTCTCAGCATTTTCTCCCCTTATGTGAAAGCGAAGGAGGGATTTTTTTTTTTTTTTTTGAAGAGTTAAAAAAAATTGATAGTAGAATCAGATGGGGTGGAAGTTTGACTCCATTCCGGGGCGGATTCACTCTTGCAAGATAAAATATTCTTTGAGAAAAAGGAAAAGCCGGGGAAAATGGATATTCGTTCAATTAATATTCACTACCTGTCCGGAAAATTCTCACACTATAGGAATTTGTGTTTTGTCAAAGATTTTTGGAGGTCGGAAAAATGTAATCGGAAAAATTACAATCGTTCGATTTTGTGTGAGCAATCTTTCATGTTTTGATGACTAACTTTGCTATTAACAATTTTCATACAAGTTTTTAATTAAAATATTGATCTTGTCACTAGAAATTTCGGATTTTTTTTGGTTAGGACAGCCTATTATTTTCTTGTAGGAAATTGGAAAATACTGAGGTTTTTCGGAAAATGTCGGGTTTTATGTGACCAAAAAGTTTTTCAATTATCGTTTAAAAAAAAAAATTGTTCAATTTCATTCAATCGAGTTTAACCATGTGACAATTACGTTATTCATATTCTGGAAATCCACTGGAGTGTTTATGAGTTTAATGTTGGTACAATGTCTGTCCAGCGTTGGCGCAGTGTCGGTTCAATGTCGCATCAGTGTCGGCACAATGTTGGGCCAATGTTGACGCATAATTTGATATATTATCGAAAATGATCTTTTCATGTGGAGTCGTAAACAATATTCCGATTGTTGATAATTTTTATAAACTTACTCTCCGGTAAATGGCGACGTTGAAGACGACAAGGGCGACGAATGGAAAGGCATAGTATACGAAAAAGTACATCCAGTTGACGTAAATAGTTATGTAAATATCGCTGGATCGTAAAATAGCTGGAACAACGCAGTAGACGGTGACGTTGTATTTCCAGTGGATTTCCTCCTCGAGGTCTACCTCCCAGAACCTTGAACCAGAATGAAAAGTTATTGGCACTGGGGTCGAAGGGATAGATGATGAATTTTTCTACGTGATACCGCGAAAATGATCCCTTTGAATGTTTCATATTTGTCGAAGCCATGACTATTCAGTAAATTTTCGTTTTATAAATGATTATATTGAAAAAAAGGCATTTTTTCAAATTAATCAAGGCAATAAATTCCCTCCGGTTTTTCTTAACTCATCAAAAATTAATGAAGTTTTAGAACAATTATTGCATGCTCGTGAAACTTTTTGAGGGATTTAACAAATATAAAATGCAAAAATCGTATATTTTGGGGATTAATTAACAATTTGAATATTATTTTATATTTCCAAGTGAATTCATTGGGTGGATGTGATAAATTTTTTTCAAGTTATCGGTTCAAGTTGTAATTTTTTATGGAGATAGGGAAAATTTTGTTAGAATTGTTGGGTGGTGGAGGGGGGAGATTGATTTTTGATAGGTAAACTCACTTCGGCATGTTATAAATAATCGATACGATAACGATGGAGAGAACAGCAATTCTTGCTCGTCCGTATGTGCAGAATGATCTTGCCCGGAGTGGATGACAAACTGCAACGTAACGCTCCATTGTAACTGTCAATGTCAAGTACACTGTCACCATCTGTGCCATGCATGACAGGGGGTATAAGTATCTCACTATCTGGGGGAATACACCGAATTTGTAGTCAAATAGAAGACCGGTGTAGGCGTAAATCGCCGGTAGGCCGTGTATCAGCACCTGTTTTAAAGAAAATTTTTTATTCAATTGACGAATTGAAAATTAATATTTGAGATGAGATCGAGATTTTTCGGATTAAAATTGTCTTTGGGAGTTTTGAGAATGGGATTGACAAAGATTTTTCATTTTTGGGGGTCCTCAATGGAAAGTTGATAATTGGAAAATTTTGTAGGAAAATTGCAAATTAATATAAAAAAAAAAAATTTTTTTAATTTACATTTTTTTTTTTCCTATTACCATAGTTCATGGTTTCATTAAAATTATCTTCGGGAGTTTTGAGAATGAAATTGACGAAGATTTTTCATTTTCGGGGGTCCTCAATGGAAAGTTGATAATTGGAGAATTTTGTGGGAAAATTGCAAATTAATATTTTTTTTATTTTTTTTTATTTATATATTTTTTTCTATTAACATAGTTCATGGTTTGATTAAAATTATCTTCGGGAGTTTTGAGAATGGAATTGACAAAGATTTTTTATTTTCGGCGGTCCTCAATGGAAAGCTGACTTTTTTATTTATTTTTTTTAATTTATATTTTTTTTTCCTGTTACCATAATTCATGGTTTGATAGGCACCCCTCGGTCTTAGCTTCTAGCCTCTCCTACTATCCCCTCATTATTTTCGCAGTGTCATGAGCCGACGCAAATTAATATTAATGAACAGCAAAATCGAAATTTGTGTTGAAAATCATTGGAGGTGTTTCGAAAATGTGATTTTAAAAAAATCTTAAAATTCCTTGAGGTCCTCCGTGAAAGAAAAAGATGAAAGCTGTAAAATTTTGGGGAAAATTAATTGAAAAAATGAAAAATAAATTTGAGGGTGACATCGTGACTTTTTCAAATCTGAAAGTCATCTCGAGGTCTTGAAAATAAAATTGGATTGATACCCATAATTTATTCTCCCCCGAACACGTCAAATAATTTAACATAACGAGATTTTCTCATGTACCCGGAGTAACGAGACTTGCAGAAACTACCGTAACAAGTCGAGATAGAGGGCACAGATTGGCCTCATTTTATAGCACTTGCAGTATCGTCAAATCAAAATGAAAAATGGCAGCTAAAAATTTTTGGGGTCGTATCACAAATAGCCCATAGAAAGCGTTTATTTTCCCATTCGTTGGAACACGAATTAATTATTCAACATCTCTTCGTCGACAATCTACCCTTTTACATTCATTAAATTCTCGTCAACTCTATCAAATAGATTTCCAATACACAAATTACTCTACCCTACTACCTCCTCACCTCCCCCAAATAAAATTCAAAGATCGAACCTAGGGAAGAGCCGGACAAAATGGGAGACTTGAAGAAAAGTGTTTTGAACTCATTCCCAACCATTTTTCTTTCCCGCCAAAAAAATGTTGGAGACAGTCTAAAAGGGTTACAGTGTTTTTGCGAATTTAAGTTTTTTTTTTTAATAATACTGTGATTTTCTTCATTTTTCTATTTTTTATTTTTAAAAATACGCCATCTGATTTGAATCGTTTATTTTTTTTTCTGATCGCTGAAATTTCTTGTATGGGAATTTCAACATTATTTTTATTAGTCAAGTAATAAAATTCTGGAAAAACTGAAATTTTGAATAATGGATTTTTACCATCAATTTTTATCTTACGTCTTCCATTGAATCGTCTGGTTCATCCCATTTTGTCCCCGTGTCCTGTTTTGCTGGGATTTTCCATTTTAAAATTAATTGTTCCATAATCTGGCGGTAATTATTGAGTAAAAATAACCGAGAAATTATCCACTTTTTCTGTAATTTTGTTGAATACTGTTTTTACTCGCAGATTATGCAACCGATGTGTAATTTTTATTGAATTTTTCTTTTCGTATTTCCATGTCGACTTGAATTCACATCATTCCGATGCCACGGAAAAATCCTTTGAGGTTTTGCTACATTTTTCACTCTCCTTTTTCTTTTTCCTTTGTGAAAATTCTGGTTGGTATGGGTATTGGAGTATCGCGTATTTTCGCATGGATAATATCGATTTTTCAGTCTTTTATCAGTCTATTTATTCACCATTGGTCATTTTGTTGGGATGTAACTTTTGACTTTGAAACATTTGTACATGAATTTTCAATGGCGTCCTGGTAAATGGGGAGAATGGAAAATAAGTGGAGTGTAAATATTGAAAGTCAACAGCATTCGTGGAGAATTTACTGGGGATCGGGGAACTAGTGCGGGGCATTTACTTTCATTTGCGTTTGCTGGTGGTTTGGTTTTCCGGAATGATAACTATCAAAGATTCATTGATAAAATTCACTGTTTTATTGCTGAAGGGAGATTTTTCGATATTCAATCGTTTTTTGAACTGATTGAGAGGGCCGCTACTCAGAACTCACGAGTTTTCGCGGGAATTTTGAAAAAAATTGATTTTTATTCGATTTTTATGGGCCATGGTCCAGAAATTTTTGGAAAAAAATTCCATTTTCTTTTCTCCATGAAATTAAATCGTTTTTCGGACTGATAGAGAGGCCCGTTACTCAGAATTCACGAGTTTTTGCGAGAGTTTTGAAAAAAAATAATTTTTATCGATTTTCGAAAAAAAAAAATTTTCATCGATTTTCGAAAAAAAAATTATTTTCATCTCTTAATTGAATTCAGTAGTTTTTTGGACTGAGAGAGAAGGCTGCTACTCAGAACTCATGAGTTTCTACGAGAATTTTCAAAAAACATAATTTTTATCGATTTTCAAAAAAAAAATATATTTTCGTCGATTCTCGAAAAAAATTCATGTTCATCGAATTTCGAAAAAAATTAGTACACGACTGAAGGATTGCTATAATAAACGAATTAACAATAAAAAATAAATGGCTATAACAATTGAATTAATAATAATTAATCAATAAATAGAATAACATGTGCTCACCGCAGTTATAATGAGAACAGTGTCGCACCTTGCGAGTCCAATGAGTAGATAATTGATGGATGATTTCATCTGTGGCCTTGACAAAATAATCATCGATATGATATTACCAAATAATCCAAAGAGCCCAACGAGATTTAGTAGAATTCCATTTGTTATAAATTCGAATAGCGCGCCATCATTCAACTCTGCGTTGCACTCGAGTGTAAGATTACTGTCTAGATTACGTTGATTAATAGATGTTGAATCGGTATTTGTCCAATCGTTCGGTAATTCTGTTGTGGCATTCATCGTTTCACTGTCAATTTCCATTATTTTTTTATTTTTATTTTTTCACGGATTTTCACTTTTCTTTCTTCTTTTTCGCGGTAATTTTGGCAAATTCGCCGGCACCTCCTCGTCCTCTTTCACTTTCGCCACTTTAATGATTGTGATTTTTTTTCGAAATTTTATGTTACCATTGTCGTTTCTCTCCTTGTGAATTTTTGGGTGCAAATTCAGCCCCTTGGGCTTTTTATTCTGTCTTCTCGCCAGCCTCACTTTCTTCGGGATCAAATGAACTTTTTGATGGAACTGCGGGCAATTATACGGGCTCGTTCATTTCTCGTTTTTAGGAGTGTTGGCCATTTTTTTTTTTTAAGGAATTCTCGTGGAGGTTTTTCTTCCCTGGGATTTTTTGCCTTTGACGGATCTCGAGATTTTCGGATCTGGATAAATAAACGTTTTTTTTTTATTATTTTTTTGTTCGGACGGATTTTTGAGAGAGATGTCAGGATTTGGAATTGTTTTCGAAAAATTTATGGTTAATATAATATATTTAGGTTTGAGAATTTTGGAGGAATTATTTTTAAATAAATTATATTTCAGAATTTTATTATCGAAAGTAATTAAGGGGATTTTTTTATGAGTTTTGAATGTTGACGAAAAAAGTTATGATTTTTTATAAAAAGGGATTTCCGGATTTTGGAATTTGGAATAATTTGAAAATTTTGGAGGAATTATTCTTCAATAATTTATACTTCAAAATTTTATTATCCAAGATAATTAATCGAATCTTTTTATAAGTCTTGAATGTTGACGGAAATCGTTATAATTTTTTCTAAAAAGGGATTTCCGAATTTTGGAATTTGAAATAATTTGAAAATTTCTGGAGGAATTCTGTTTCAATAATTTATACTTCAAAATTTTATTATTGAAAATAATTAATGGGATTTTCGTATGAGTCTTGAATGTTGACGAAAATCGTTATAATTTTTTCTAAAAAGGGATTTCCGAATTTTTGAATTTGGAATAAATTGAAAATATTTGGTGAACTATTCTTCCATGAATTATTCGTGTTGTTTCATTCTTGCATTTTATTCAGGATGTCAGAATTTTTTGCAAGCACTCACTTTCTTCTCGATAAAACCAACTTCTCGGGACACCCTAGGGTAATAGCAGGTGAACTTTCATTCTTTTATTTTATTCAAAGAAAGTTCTCGGTTGTTTTCACGATCTCGGTGGACAGGGCTTTGCGGTGAATCGATTGAGAGTTCTCAGGACATTTGTAATCTGGAAAAATTGTGGGATTCTCAATTCAGGGCAATTCTCGTAGAATAATATTTTCTGTTTACCTTTGATTTTACGGTTCGTGTGGTGCACTCTGGATCTGGAAGATAAATTGAGAAATTAGTTTGACGCTTTTGTACGAGTGATGTGAAATAATAACATTTTACTTTTAATAACATTCTGTAGTACCCCCTGATCACTTTAAATAACAATCAAAAGGGTTTAAACAATCGTAATTTTTCGAAAATTACGAACTGGAAACAAAAATTTTCTATACCTCGCGTCTTGAAGACAAATCAATCGATTTTGGTGTTTAAAAATCTGAATTATCTCCCAAATTATCAATTTTATAAAAAAATATGAAAAGATCTATTTTATCCGAAATTTCATCTTCTACAATAAATCTCCTCTCAACTTTTCCCCTAAATCGACAGTTCTCCGGATAAATCCGTAATTATGAAAACCGTAAATTCTTATCTCTCGTCGATCTCTCCCCAGAAATGAATGAACGATAAATCGATAATCAATAATCAAACGATCGCCGAGTAAATGCCATTTTTCTGTGAATAACCTCGGGATAAATAAAAGCTGTCAGGCGTGTTAATGAAGTTTTCACGTAGAAAATTGCTTGTAGAAATATTGTTTTCATCGGGAGGAAAAATCGATGAATTCCAGGCGCGTAAAAATCAATTGATAAATAATTAAAATCCCTGATGATATTGGGTAATTGTCTGGTCAACAATTCAGTGTCATTAGACGGTGTAGAATGTTGAATTGCTCGATTGTATTTCCACATCCTGTCAACTCTTCACAGTTCAATAAATCAACTCGTGTGACACAGACCACGAAAACAATACCTACTCTAGTGAATGATTTTCAAGTGACTAATGACAATATTATTATGGTTTTTTATAGCAATAAATATACTGTACATTGTGTACAGTATTTCACTTTTGTTTTCCCATTTTTTCAATTTTTTTTGCGATCATTTGGTGTCAATTCACTCTAGTTATTTTATATTATTCCATCATTTTATATTTATTTAAACAATTGAATGATTGCCTCAGTAATAATTTAGAGAATTTGTTTATTACGATATTTTATTTTGTCGTATTTAATTCAATTATTATAAATTATTATTATTTATTGAAGCAAAAATATTCAATTTCAAAAGATTTTTGTCTTTAATGTTTAATTTCATTGATAAAAAAATTAAAATTAAAATTAAAGAGTAGGAAAAAAATTGATTTCAGTCGTAAGAGTTCGTTTAACCAATAAATTTATTATAGATTTATAATTTTGTAATAAATTTATTTATTTTTCTTCTTTGGGGAGGAGTTTTTATTTATAATCCATTTATAAATTTATTTATTCTTTTCCGGAGACTTTGAAATAGGGGAAAAATTTTAGCTGACGTCACGACTAGTGATAAATCGTGAATTCAAATGGCAGGTCGTGTCTGACCATTGCGCGTATTTTTCCACTCACTTCGGTATTTCCATATGATAGACTTTTGGGTTTCCTTTTTTTTTTTTTCTTAGATAAGACTTGGAGAAAAATGATAGTGAAGCCATCGGAAATATATTGCATTCTATTTTGGAATATAAATAAAAATATGAAGTCGCGGTGAAAGCGGGAGAAAATTGGAGAAATAAATTGCCTCTGGAAAAAATAGAAAAATATAAAATATATAAAAATATATAAAATATCGTCGATTCCATAAAAGTTTTTCTTAAAAACTCAATATTTTAAATCAACGAATTATTTTCGGAAATTAATATTCTATTCAGATAAATTCATGATAATAAATAAATCGATTTGGATATTATCCATTAAAATAATTGAAAATAAAAAAATCGATTTGGATATTATCCAATAAAATAATTGAAAATAAAAAAATCGATTTGGATATTATCCAATAAAATAATTGAAAATAAAAAAATCGATTTGGATATTATTCAATTAAAGGATTGAAAATAAAGTAGAGCAGTAATATTTTTTTTTTCTGCGTTTTAATAGAATCGATTGAGAGTTGATTGAAATCAATTATGAACTTCCTACTGGGATAATTACGGTTTAATTCATATGAATAATTATCAGAGTAATGAAGCAATTCGTCGCAGTGGGAGAGGGTTAAAAAAAATCACAAGGAGGGTGAATACTTTATTCTCATCGGGTGTCACGTAATTGCAAATATCGAATAATTTTGAATTTGTGAATGAGAATAAATTCCCACTGGTTTATCGAAGACTCGGAAAATCCTCTCACATTGAGGTCAATTACCTTAATTTATTTATTCCACTTATTATTGTTGTTGCACGTAGACCCCATACGTCATGAATTAACGAGTGCTTGTTTCTCCGGTTTATCTATTTTTGAATCTGAGTAATAGCCCGCAGGTATTAATAATTCAACAAATTTTTGATGAAATCATTGTTATTGTTGAGTATAAAAATTATTGCTAATTATTTAATCAGGGGTTGAGGGAGATCGGTATCGGTGGAGTGTTTTTTTTTTTTTTTTTTCATTTTTTATCGCAATTTTTTGGGGGATTCTGGGGATTTTGTATTGTTGGAGTATATAATGTGGAACCTTGTGACGAAAGAATTCACGGTTGTGATATTTGGTAGTTCACTGTGCCAAACCGATCCGACATGGCACGGAGATTATTTTTGGTAACATTCTGCGTCTGTGGGAATTTTCATATAGCAATTTCTTCTTGACATTTGCGATAGTCGGGGAGAGGATGGATGGTTTCAATAAAAGAACGGGGAATAGATTTTTTGGGAGGGAGAACGACGATACGTGCTTATTACTAGTGGGAAAATCGCGGTCGGGAAATCATTACTGAATGGTTCAAAACGATTTTTTTTACTGTTTTTCAGTTTTTGGCGATTATCTCGGTATTGAGGGCGGGTATCGAAATTTTTGTTGATAACTTTTTTGTACGGTTTGGGGAGATCTGTATAAAAGGTCATTACGAAAATTTCGATATTTGTCTTAGAACGGGAGATATCTCCGTTATAAAAATCAGTAATAACATTACGCAATGGTTCAAAACGATTTTTATTGTTTTTCCGTTTTTGGCGATTATCTCGGCATTGAGGGCGGGTATCGAAATTTTTGTTGACAACTTTTTTGTACGGTTTGGGGAGATCTGTATAAAAGGTCATTACGAAAATTTCGATATTTGTCTTAGAACGGGAGATATCTCTGTTATAAAATCAGTAATAACATTACGCAGTTGTTCAAACCGATTTTTATTCTTCGTCGGTTTTTAGAGATTATCTCGGAATTTATGAAAGATATCAAAATTTTTGTCAGGACTTTTTCTGTGAAGTTACCTAAGACCTATAAAAAAGGTCGTAACAAAAATATCGCTATGTCCTTTAGATCTAGAGATATTTCCAAATTCCTGCGGACAATTGAATGCGCACGTGAGAATGCTTCTGAAAAGTGTTGAATTTCTTTAAAAACTAAATCCGTAAAAATTCGATTGGCTCGCGATGTTAAAAATTTGTATTCCGGAAAATGGTGTTACGATATCCAATGAAAGGTGTGAGCAATGTCCTCTGATACGTGAATAAATTTTCCAAGAAGTTTAACGGTAAAATACGAGAGTTACGAGGTACAAGTAGTTTCCCTCCAGCTCAGCTATGACCCGACTGGCTGACGCCATTTTCAGCTCTTTTTACTCTTCATCTTTGCGATGACATCGACACTGAGCTTGCGAGTTATTACTGTCAGCCATATTTCTTCTTTTTGTCGCATAAATCTCCATCAGTTCCATAAATTTTATGAAAACTCTCAAGTCTTTTCATTTGAAATCGTCAGAGTAATTAGAAATTCATTGGAAATTACCCTTATTCATATATTCATTATGATAATTTATAATTTTCTCGAATTTTTCATATTTTTTATATTTTAAAATCGATAATCGCATTTAATAAATTATTTATTCGAATCCATTAATTTTCTTTTCCTCTAGAAATCAATATTCAATTCATATAAAAAATTTTCTTTCACTCGTATACCCTTTCGGGTTTTTACGATTTGTTCCCTTCCCACCCCCCAACCCCCTGTACCGCATTTGCCGAAAGGGAGGGAAAACCTCATCTGAGGGAAAAACCTACCCTGGTACAGTCGTCCTTTTGACAGGACTACCGCTCGGCAGTGGAACCGTGAGATCAGAGCGCTATATATTTTTGACCGCCGGTGCCCGGGATCGAACCCGGATCCTTGGCATGCTAGTCCAGCACTCTAACCGCACGGCCACTACCGTCGGTATTCAATTCATATAATGATAATAACAATAATATGTGGATATATTATGAAAATATATAATATATTGTTATATATATGAAAAATATGTGTAATTTGGATGTTTATCAAAATATTCTCCAAAATAAAATTAAAATTTCGTGAGGAAAAGTGAATTTTCTGTTTGAAATTCTTAATCGTGTAATGAAAATATGGAATCGGTGAAATTTTTCTCAGAAAAAATGCGGAAAAGTTGAAATAAAAAAAGAAAATAGTCGATGGGTGATGAATAAAAATCGTGGAGATTTTTTTTTTCATAGAAATTTTTGTTGAATTTATTTATGCATCGATTGGATGTTAGACGGAGCGAGAGAAATGGTAAATTGCGACTCTCTGAAAGTTTTATATGGTCCTCTAGTTTTGGCTAACACCTGGGACTAATTAATTAAAGGTTGAAGTTGCTAAGGGCATGAAAATTCAATTTCATTGATGGAGATACGGCGGTTTACGGATTTTCTCGAGTCGCTAATTCGTCGATCGATTTCTATTCTATTCTCAAGTTAATTGAATTGATTAATTCGGAGAATTTATTTTAATGCTCAATTCTTTGTCATTTAACTTTTATTCAATTAAACGAATAAAATTTAATTTCTTTGGATAAACAATTGATATTAAACAAAAATTCTCCATCCAAAATTTTTACAAAAAAATTCCACACGATTTTTCAAAATTCACTTTTAATATTCATTAACCCATTTTTTTAAAAGTTTGTTAACATTTATTTTTATTCAATATTCATAATTAATAGATAATAATTGATTATATAAACGAATTTATTTT